AGTGGGATTGAAAGGGTAGCAATAAGTGTTTCTTTAAGGTTATGCGAGATAGAAGTAAAGATGTTTTATTAAGTTATTTATTTTACCTGGTACCTTGCTGTGAACTATAAGTATGATTTTAAAGATCCTGAAACAGGCGCACATATGCTTGCTTTTTATTTAGCGGAGGAAATAAAAGTTTATCGGACACGTAATCAAGATTCTGAAGAAGATTAGGTAAGTTAGTATTTTTAATTATTTGAGGATATTATTTTTATGCATTGTTCTAAATGTAAGGTGGAAGTAAAGTAATTTGGTATTATTGGGAAAATTGTTATTATCAATGATTTAGTTTAAAAGTAATTAGGATTGTAAGCTAATTTTTATTAATTTAATGTATGTGCTTATTTATATTTTTAAGTAGTGTTTTGGAATTTAATTATATTTAATTAAATGATAGGTATTTTGTGAATTTTATGTTTGTAGGAATTTGGTATACGTTTTAATTGAAGTAAACGTGCATGGAAATAATTTAAATATTTGACACTAAGTATTTGTAATGTTTGCAGTATGAATTCGTTGGTGACGTTTATAATATAATAGATAATTTTAGAGGTAAAAGTTTTTTGGATATTTTATTTATTTATACGTGGAAATGTTCATATTTGGAAAGGGTATATACTTTTATGTTATTAGGTAATTTCATATATGTTCTTTTTAACGGGTTTAAAGATTCAGAAAATTGTCATGCATTTTCGTGAAATTTTTTCTAATTTATGAGAAAAAAGGAGTGTACATGGATATGGTGAAGAGTGTGCGCAATGCCATTTTTGTGCAATTCTAGGATTTTTTTTTTTTTAAGTAAAAATAAGTCGACGTGTACATGGTTTAGTGATATTTTAATTAAATGATAGTTATTTTGTGAATTTTATGTTTGTAGGAATTTGGTATACGTTTTAGTTGAAGTAAATGTGCATGGAAATAATTTAAATATTTGACACTAAGTATTTGTAATGCTTGCAGTATGAATTCGTTGGTGACGTTTATAATATAATAGATGATTTAGAGGCAAAAGTTTTTGGATATTTTATTTATTTTATATGTGGAAATGTTCATATTTGGAAAGGGTATATACTTTTTCGTGATCAGGTAATTTCATATATGTTCTTTTTACCGGGTTTAAAGATTCAGAAAATTGTCATGTATTTTCGTGAAATTTTTCTAATTTATGAGAAAAAGGCAGTGTACATGGATATAGTGAAGAGTGTGCGCAATGCCATTTTTGTGTAATTCTGGGATGTTTTTTAAGTAAAAATAAGTCGACGTGTACATGGTTTATGTGTATGCGTTATTTTGAAAAACGCGTAAGGAGTATGGTATTGTGCACTTTTTCCCAATTTTGTAGTGAATATTTGTCATGATTAAGCAGGTTTGTTAGATAAAATTTCTAGCATAAGTGTAATTCGGCTAGTAGATTGTTGGAAGAAGTGTTCAGTAGATAAAAAGAAAAGAAACATGTCTTTACTTCGTGAAGACAAAATGGCGGCGGGATAAAAAGAAAAGAAACATGTCTTTACTTCATGAAGACAAAATGGCGGCGGGAAAAAAAAAAATAGAGGGTTGCTGTAGGAGAGTTGATCGCCAAAAAATCGCCAAGTTACCATAATCTAAAGATCAACCGAAATGTCAAATGACCAAAATTAAGGACCATTTATTCATTTTGACCAAAATTAAGGACTTTTAAGGACCAAAAATCATTTTTGAAAAATTTAAGGACTTTCAAAGACTTTTAAGGACCGTACGAACCCTGCACCCCTAAAAACAGAGAATGGTCCCTGTTCTTCCTCCTACCTTCCAAAACTAGCCCACAAAGTCACATATCCAGTTTCAAACTTCTAGCTTTATAATGGTTTCAGTAACCACGTTTTTTATTTTTTAAGTTGTCTGGGAGACCGCTCACAGTAAATGCGTACCAGTTTTAGTGGACGATAGACTTTATTTAATGAATGTTTATTTTTCATAGGTGATAAATATGGCTTCAAATTTTACAAAAAAACATCCCATATACCTCACTAAAAAAGATATTGAATATCTTAACAATAATTTTTCTGATGTAGAATACACAGATTCTGAAAAATCATGTAGTATTCACAGCAAAAGCAAAAGTGAAGCTGAGCTGTCTGCAGACGAATCAGTATAAAGTCTGTAGTCCGGACTCGTCGAGTCTTCGGCGATTCCGGATTAAGGGTTTTTCTGGATTATAGATCATCAATTTAAATCTGGTAAGATGGCATGCAGAAATTATACAATTAAAAATATGAAACTGTAATTTATGAAATAAAGAGCAATTATGATCTAGAAGGTATCAAAATTTACAAAAAAAAAAAGCTTAATATTTATTTGTTTACTTTATTAAACATTTCTAAGAATGTAAGTCAAAATGATGGTAATACTGGGTAACCAAAAATTATTGAGTTACACAATTTGACAAAAGGAGGTGTTGAAGAATTTGACAAGAAGTGATCTATTTACTCAAGCGGTTAACGAACTCAACATTGGCCTACGGCGATATTTTTTAAAATACTGAATATGTGCACTGTGAATTCATTCAGATTATTCTAGTCATATCCTGATGTTACAAAACTGGAAAGAAAAAAGTTTATGCTTTTAGCAAATCATTATACCGTATCTGAAAGGTAAGATAACTTCTCTTTTTTGCCAAGGGAACTGAAGATAACAATTAGAAGAATCCTTGGATAGAATGGAGTAATCCTTGGATAATAATAATAAGTAAGTAATCCTTGGATAGAAAAGTAAGGGAATGGATTTATCAAATCAAGAAGAAAAATTAGAAAAAATAGAAAGATGTACATGCTTTGTGCCCACCTAGTACAAAGAGAAAAACAGCATACAAAATGTTTGGAATGCAAGAAACCAGTGTGTCTTCAGTGTTTTCAAAAAAGTGTTTCAACTGTGTATCATCTTATGATTAATCTTTGTAAACAAAAATTGAAAAAAATAAATACACTGCTCGACATTGAATATGCAACACCAAGAAGGAGTGGTCAGAAAGTGATGAAATATGGAAAAAAGACAGACACAGCAAGCAGCAATAAGTGATCTTTATTTCAAAATGATAGTCAGAATACAGAGCGAGAACGGCGTCAAAAAATATACTAACATATTAAATATTTATAATTCATTGTTGTAGAATTATGGTTTAATTGGCAGTAATACTCACTAAAGCCACATATTTTCATGAATGTTTAATAAAATCTTTGTTCTTTAATGTTAATTTCTCAAGGGAAAAGAAAATCGTGAGATGCTAAAACGTTTTTTCTAGAATGGTTTCAAGTTATAAATCTAAAAATATTTCTAAAGCTTTTTTTCACTAATTTGCTAAATGCTAGGGCAGAATCTTACATCAACTGACATATGGCTCACAAGCTGGAAAAAGCACAATCCAAAATGTCCATGGAATATTAATGGTGAGAAGGAAGAAGAGGATCATGCAGCTGATAACTGGATATAAGACATTTTACTTCAGCTGCTAAATGAATACAAGCCACAAGAAATTTATAATGTAGATGATATTAGACTGTGTTAGAACATTAACAGAACACACAATTACACTTAAAAGTAAGCAGTTAGTTAAGAAACTGAAAGAATATGTTAACATGAATATGAGCCTGTTTCCCAAGAACAGTTCTCTCATAGAGGTATACTTTCCTAAAGCAAATAGCTCTTATGTGTTATACCACTCTCAAATAACCATAATCAACATACTGTGCAGCATGACTACAAAGCACCTTCCATAAGAAAGTCCTCCATTAAGGCACCCCTCCACTTAGGCAAGGTCCATTAGGCTTGTCCATATTTATGTAAAACATAATGATACATTTTTTCAAAATACACAATGAGTGATATCGTGCGACAAGACTCTGAGCGTTCAATGCAATCTCAATCCAAGACTAACATCCCATATGATGTGTTTTTTACATACAGCTAATTTTTACTATAATATACAACCAAAATTACTATACTATACAACCAAAATTGGTCTATCTATTTTTAAAGTGTGACCAACAACACCACCATGTGAATTAATGTACACATGGATGGGTACTAGGCCTACAAAATGGGGATTAACCCAGTGATATAAATGGAAGTGGTTTGACCAGATTTAATATATGTGCTTCAATTTTTGCACTAAAGCCACCAAAGTGCTGAAAGTCAAAAGAAGAAAGTCTCGTTTCTATTCTTTGTAGCAGACCTCATGTCAGCAATTATCATGGTTGCCCAGAATATGAAAAAAATTTGCCAAAACCTTCAAGAAAGAAGCTGATCTTTCATTTTTCAGGTGAACAACACTACATTATTGTACATATCGAAGAATACAAACCCAAGAAAAGGGGACCAACTCAGTACTACAAATGGCAGCAGTTCGGCCACATTCAATATATGTGCTTCAATATCACAGGCTGTGTGATCTGCAGTAAAAAACCATCAAAGTGCCGAATGCCCTAAGGCAAAAAAAGAGCTTTTCTGTACACTCTGTAGCAGACCTCATGTCAGCAACTATTGTGATTCCCCAGGATATAAAAAAGAATCTGCCAAAACCTCAAAAAAGAATGAACAAAAAACAGTAAATCAAATCCTGAACACCAAAGAAAGCTTTCCAGGATTATTCAAAAATTCAGAAGCCACCATTCCCCATCTAAAACATAAGAAAATACAGTGAAATATTAAGAAATTCCATAGAAAATTAAGAAAACTCAAGTGAAGAAAGCTCAACTGATTTAAACCGGATAAGCATGATACAAGAAACATTTTCCACTTTAAATGACGTGAAAAAAGCAAAATCGTCTGCAGAAATGACCATTACCATCCTAAAAGCAGAACTATTTTGCCATGGTTAATTCTTTAGAGAGAACGGATTTTTTTTTTAAGGTAATCACAAATTTGTCTTGATCTAACCTTCTAATGTTAAAACATAAAGATAGGAAAGAAACAAAACAAACCTTTTGAGGATGATTCTTCATCGGAGTTACCCACATCACCCGAAATTTGCTCTTTCTTGAACGAGGATGGGGAAGGTTTTTCACAGGTTGACATTTGATCCAAGTTATCTTCATTTAACATAGTTTCATTTTTATCCTGATCTTTACACAATATTTCAATGCGAGGTCTTTTTCTAGACTCAGATTCTTCAGGTGGGAAGCATTTACCTTGGTAAAATTTCATATGCTTCCCAAGTGCTTTCTCACTTCTTAGGTGTTTTTCGCAAACACTGCATGTATAAAGCTCATTATTGTCCTGATTTGCTTCAGCCATTTTTTTTTTTTTTATTCAAAAAATTTTACAATATTGAAGTCAAAAAGGAAACAAAAAGTTTACTTAAAAAATGAAATTTCGAAACTCAAACTCGCACGAATTACTTCACATAGAAAACGATGTTGCCACACATACTAAGTCAAATATATCAAAGCCACTGAGCTGAATAACTTCCTTTTTTATTTGCAATGTTTTTAAAGAACAAAACAATTTTCTTGTTTGAAAAGCGTGCGTGTGTGTGAGTTATTATGGCAAAGCCTTGAGGGCTAAATGCCTAAGGGAAGGGATGCATTCGTAGAGGACTTTCTAAGGGAAACTGGCTCGTATACACGTTACACATGGGGAAAACCACGAAAACTCCTATGCAGCCAGCCCGTTCGCGGGATTCGAACCTCGGACCGAACTACCAGTGTTCAGCGACTTTACCGCTCGGCCGCTGGTGGGCCAAAACAATTTGATATGTCTAAGGTTAACATTATTTATGTTTTCTCAATTTTGAACTCGTTTTGTATGCGTTCTGTGCGTCACATACGACGCTTATTTCTACAGTAGACTCCCGATTATCCACGGACGAATTATCCGCGCCTGCCGCACAAAGTCGTGTTTTTTGTTTTTTTTTACAAGCGTAAAGCAAAGAAAATAAAAATGTTCTCACGAAACTGAGCGAAAAGTTAAATTTTCTAACATCGTGCTTATTTAGGGCAAAAATATCCAGGCCTTCTCGGAACCATTCCCTCGGCCTTCTCGGAACCTTCCCCTCTGATGAGTAAATCATTTCTTACTCACACCAATATTCTGCCCAATAACAGCCCCAACGGGATCGCATACACTGATTGTGAGAAAGCTGAGTCTATTGCAGAAAACTATGCTTCTCAATTTCGCACACACAACATCAAGTCCAATCAAGAACACACACAAACAACACACCCTTAATTATGCCTTCAGAAGTTAGTAGTTGTATCGAGAAGAGAAAAATTCGTAAAAGTCCAGGACTGGATAAAATAAGCTACAAAATGGTAAAAGAAATGGGACCCAAGATGCTGTGTAAGTTCACGAAAATCATCAACATTATGATTAAAATTCAGCATTTCCCGACCAATTGGAAGACAGTAATTAAAGCACCGATTTTGAAGCCGGGTAAAGATCCAACCTGCACCGTCTCTTACAGACTGATAAGTCTCTTATCGACTCTAAGATAGATTGCGGAAGCTGTTATCCTGGCAAGAATTCATGATTTTCTGCAGGAAAATAACATCTTAATTCAAGAGCAGTATGGATTCAGACGGAAAAATTCTACACACATCAACTATACAGAGTTACGGATTGATTGCAGATGGATTCAGAAAAATTGATCACTGGAGCTCTCTTCCTCGATATATCGAAAGCTTTTGATTGTGTATGGTTAAGGCCTCACTTTTAAACTAATTACTCTGGGTTTCCCAGATTACATCATAAACATCATCAATTCCTATCTTAACGATAGACACTTTGCCGTTCGTTATAACAATACCCACTCTACACGTAAAGCAACCCTTGCGGGTTTGCCACAGGAAAGCTTGCTCTATCTCACTTTATTTTCAATTTATACGAACGACATCCCACACAACCCCCTCACTACACTTGCACTTTACGCAGACGACACCGCGATTCTCCATCAAAACGCGTCTATGGCCGCAGTTGTACAAACATTACAGAACACATCCACGCACTAGAGTCCTGGATGATAAAATGGAAAATCAAGACGAATGTGGAGAAATCAGAAGCTGTTACTTCACCTACAAAAACCAACCTGGATCTGATATCACCTCAAAATTATGGTATCAGTATTCCCTGGGCAAGCATTTAAATACCTTGGTGTCATTTTAAACCAAAGACTCACATGGGCCCCACACGTTAATATACTTTAACAAGTTTTCGGGGGTTAAGCGTTACTCAACCCCCTAATTGCCCGAAACTCAGTTGTCTATTCAAAATAAAGTTCTTGTATTTCAATCCATTTTGCGTCCCATCATCACGTTGCGTTCCAGTCTGGGGTTCCTTGTGACACAACTATGAAAAGAATTCAACAATCAAAATATGACTTTGAGACAGATGGCAAATTGTCACTGGTTCATTAGGACGATCAATATCGTGAACTTAATGTAGATAAATCAACGTCTGGTTTGCAAAAATTGCAAGAAAATTTTCAGAAATCATAAAGTAATTAACAGCTCCATCCCACAGCTGGACTATAATACCAGGATAGAGACAACAGAAAACGACCGAAAGCGGTCCTTATACATCTAAATACGGAAACTGTGATTGTTTTCTCTATTCTCCTTGGTAACTTATCTTAAAATCTCAATTGATCATCTAATAACAACTTATTCTCAATTAGTTATACTCTGCTTTATATCGCGACATAGGTGTCGCTATCTAGGATTTAATTTCAGAACTACTGCTAGAATTTGAAATATATATTTCGTTATCTGATAGAAAGCTCTGCCACATAAGTTTTGCAATTATGTAGATTAACTCAGTTATGCTGTATCTCATCCAGCTTAATATCTATCTAATTTAATTCCAGAGTAACTCTATACCTTCCATGATCCTTTTTTTACTTCAAATAACTCCACCATCAATAATATGTACATTACGTTAACTTTAACCCCGCCCCCCGCCAATGCCTGTCTTGCAAGTAGATGCACTTCCTTTTCAGATTCACCATTGGTAAAGACGACCACAGCTCCGCCACTTTAGCTGTACCCAGAGACAACGCTTTCACTCAGACTCTGCATTCTGACGCCAGCACCAGCATCTGCATTTACACGGGACATATCGAACTAGCTACGCTGATGTATCTGAAGACTTAAATTGCACTTCAACGAGACATTTTTATCTCATTACGAAGTTTGTCACGTTAGGATAGAAAAGATATGCCCTTTCGTAGAGTGTACACGGATGTGGTTTTCATAACCCGGGGCCGTGACAAGTGTTTCTAACCCTGATCTTCTTAATCCTAGCAGGCCCGTCCAAAGCCCTCTCTCGTCTTAATATTACTGACACGTCCACTCTCTCACTTGGAATTGTTAGTTTAAGCCTGATAGTGTTTGTGACCGGTAGAGTTAATTTTCTTATCTTTATTGTGTTCAGTGCTTGCTTTTTTTTTTGTGTTTTTCGTTACCGATTTAAAATGTCAGGAAAACGAAAGAAGATTGTGTTGATGATTGTGCAAAAACTAGAATTAATTACCTAGTTGCAAACGTCGCTACAAGGCAGCAGATCGAATTGGTTACGGAATCGTGGAAACAACAGTGCATGACATTCTAAAGCAAAATGACAAACTGGTGAACTTTGCATCAATGTCGGACAGTGCTTCCCCAATGAAAATGCAAAAAACTATGAAGGGTTCTACCTTTGATTAGCTAGACATGGCATTGACAGAGTGGTTAGCTCATGTTTGAAAAGAGGGTACCTGTAAATGGTCCTATCATGCGGCGAAGGCAAACCTTTTTTGAGTTGTTAGGTCTGAAAGGAAATTTTGATGCGTCTTTTGGCTAGTTGACTCGTTCTAAGTAGCGACATGGAATTCGAGAAATTGAACTTCATTGGGAGAAACTTAGTGGTGAATAACAAGCAGCCGACGATTTCCACCATGAATTTGAAGAATTTGTTTTAAAAGAACAGCTATCTTTTGAACATATTTACAATGCTGACAAATCGGGACTTTTGTGGAAATATCTTCCCACTCACACTTTAGCATCTGAAAGTGAAAGTAAAGCAGCGGGTCATAAAAGCAGCAAGGAAAGGATCACTATCATGTCTTAATGTAATGCTACCGGTGAACATAAACTTAGACTTTTTGTCATTGGAAAGTAAAAAAAAAAAAAAAAAAGAGAGATCTTTTAAAGCCACAAGGATAGAAAATTTGCCCATTGATTAATTTAACCCCCCCCCAAAAAAAAGAATGGATGAACCGACACATTTTTCAAGATGGTTCGAAAAAATGTTTGTTCTTCAAGTGCGTAAACATCTTAAATCGAAAAACCTGCCTCAAAAAGCTGTGCTATTGATCGACAACACACTTTCTCACTTAGCAACAAGCGTGCTAAAGTCTTCTGATGGACACATTTTTGCGACTTTTCTCCCCCCCCCAAGCGTTACTGTGCTAATCCAACCCATGGACCAAGGAGTCATTGCAACAATGAAGAGAACATACCAAATCAAGCTGCTAATGACCAAAATTGAAGAAGGTTATGATCCGAAAGAGTTTTGGAAACACTACACAATCTTGGACAGCATCTGCATGGGACTCAGTGAAACCGTCAACCCTCATAAATCATGGAGAAAACTCATGCCCAATGCTGAAGCCAACAACAACCTAACCCCTTTGAGTTGTGAAGAAGAGAATGAAAATGTAGACACGCCCACGGCAACTTTTGCCGATATAATGTAAACAGTTCCGGGTGGTGAGAACATCGATGCTGAAAACATTAACGAGTGGTTGGAGTGTGACGTCAACGAACCTGACTTCGAACACTTGATAGATGATGAAATTGTGAAGACGGATTACTGAGCTATTTGGAAGAACAAGACGACACAGAGTTGGCCAAGAAACTTATGCTACGAAAAATGCAATCTCAGATCAAGAGAAAATGCTTCCAAAGCAAAAAGCAAACACAAATGACTGATTGCTTCAAAAAGGTGTAGTTTAAGTTATGCTCTTGTTATTATGTAATTATATTTTGTAATTACATAATACATTACAGTATTAAAACAGTACATATGTTATAATTAATGCCTTTTCTGTTTTCATTAACAAAATGCATTTTAGGTTAGTTTTGAGTGATATACTAAAATATTAAGCATTAGTTAAACATTTCCTGCTGTTTATTTTCTGTTTTATTGTACATAAAACAATTTTTCAAAGTTGGAATGACTGTTTTCTCTTTTGCTATACCCGTTTTTAGCTTTTTTCGGATTATGCGTGATTTTTGTTATCCGCGGCGGCCGCACCACTCAATTCCGCGGATAATCGGGAGTGTACTGTATTTTTAAGATGAAAAACATTATGTACATTAATGTTCACAAAAAAAGGGGGCGATTCTATATCTCACGTTTGACTCGGGCGATTGACGAAATT